TGATATTGAGTCAGATAATGTTATTAAAAGATATCAGAGAAGACCGAAGCGACTGGAAAATTTATGTTTGGCAGATTTCGTTGCATGGTTTAATTGTAAAAGTGAAAGAAATGAGAAAAAGCCAGTTAAACCTAATGTTAACTCAACACTTTTAGCAGATGATTAACTCTTGGAAAATGATTTCAATGATAATGTAGATGATGATCTCTCTGATAATGACGAGACATTAGATGAACGTGATGAATATGAAATGAAAGGAGGAATAACTCTCGTGAAGAGGCAAAAACCAAGGATAATACGGTCAGTTAGATTCAATAAAAATAAAGATCCAGAAAATTATTGCAGAGAACAAATTATGCTTTACACTCCTTGGAGAAATGAAAAGAAAGATCTTCTCTAGGATTTTCAAACCTACCAGGATCGATTTGAAAACGTTAGAGATCTGATAGAAGAAAACAGAAAACATTACGAGAATCATTCAGACGTTATTGATCAGGCAGTGCAAGATATTGAAAGTGAGGAATTTGGGAATGTAGTCGCTCCTAATGCACAATATAGAGATGAACAAGATAAAGATATTGGCTCAAAAGAAAGCGACTTATTTGGATGTTTTGATCCTGGCAAAGATAAGCAGCATACAGAATACGACTTAATAAATGACATTGGTATATATCCAAGAACACATGAAGATGAAGAACTAGTTGCAAAACGACTGAAAGATGATGATTTTAGGAAACTCGTTCAATCATTTAATATTGAGCAAAAGGAATTTTTTTACCATGTACTGAATTCTGTAAAAACTGGAAAAATGCCATTAAGATTGTTTTTAAGCGGAGGTGCTGGTGTTGGTAAAAGTACTGTTACAAATGCTTTGTATGAAGCACTTATGAGATATTTAAATGCGCAACTTGAAAATGATCCAGACGATGTCAGTGTTATCAAAGTAGCACCCACAGGTAAAGCTGCCTTTAACATAAGAGGGAATACACTTCACTCTGCCTTTAAGATCCCTGCAAACAGAGGATTTAATTATTGCACACTTGATAGAGACAGATTAAATACTATAAGATCTCAGTTAGAAAAATTGCAAGTTATTTTTATTGACGAAATATCTATGGTAGGCAGTGGTATGTTTACGTTTCTTGACCTAAGATTGCAGCAGATAATGGGCACAAAAGAACCATTTGGTGGTCTTAGTGTGATAACTGTTGGTGATCTATTTCAATTAAAACCAGTGTTTGATCATTGGATATTTGAAAACTCAAGCGAAAGCTATAATACATTAGCATCGAATCTCTGGCAGCAATATTTTCAAATGTTTGAATTGCCACAGGTTATGCGACAAAGGGAAGATAAAGACTTTGCTGAAATTATAAATCGGATAAGGGAAGGCAAACACACTGAAAATGATATTAGAGTTCTAAAAGAAAGAATATTTACGCTTACCTCAGAACATCCTGAATACCCAATAACGTCTACACACTTATTTAGTACTAATATGGCAGTAGATGAACATAATCATGAAATATTTCATAAATCAACAAATGAGAAGGTTCAGGTTAAAGCAATAGATATTGTACTTGGTGATTTATCCGATGATTTGAAAGAAAGAGTAAAAAAACAAATCCCAAATGATCCTTCTAAAACTATGGGATTGTACTCAGTTTGTTCGATACTAAAAGAAGCGAAATATGATCTTACGACAAACGTATCAGTTGTAGATGGCATGACCAATGGTGCTGAGTGTATAATTAAGAAGATTGATTATCGAGTACCAGGTTCATCAAGACCAAGTATTATTTGGGTTTTATTTCAAGAACAACACATTGGAAATAATCATCGCAAAGAATACTCTTATCTTTACAACCAGACAGTGGAAAAAAATTGGGTTCCAATTTTGGAGGTCACTAGACAGTTTAGAAAACATCAAATGCAAGTTCTTCCCAGACAATTTCCATTGAGACCAGCAGCAGCCAAAACTATTCACCGTTGTCAAGGAGATACAATGAATGAAGCTGTTGTTGACCTTCCATCATCAAAACGGGAACACATGCATTATGTTGCACTAAGTAGACTTAGAAGCATTTCAGGATTGCATATTCTTAATCTCAACGAAAATAAAATAGCTGTGAGCAAGAAAGTGCAAGAAGAAATGACAAGACTGAGAGAGAATGCATCACTCAACAGCGATATCCCTTTCCTTTATAAAGATACTAGTGGAACATTTAAAATATTATTTCAGAATGTGAGGTCATTACATCTTCACTTTCCTGATGTTGCTAGTTTGCTAGTGATTACAATGTAAAAGCAGCTGAGATTAACATATTTGTCGAAACTGCCCTGTGTAGTAATGACAATAATGACTTATATCATATTCCTAGCTTTCAACTTTCCAGAAATGATTTTATGCCACACGATACGAGAACTCCTTATGGAACTGCCGTTTATGTAAAAGAAACGTACATCTTTCATCAGAACCTCTGAGATGTAACTATAACGACGTAGAAATGACGTTGATAAGAGTAAACCAACCAGTGCATGATTTACATATTGTAGGGATTTATCGTTCCAAATCGAAGGTGAAAACTTCAAAGTTTATAGATGCTTTGAAACATTTGCACTCTAATATCATAAATGATCCAAATGCCCCCGTTATTATTATAGGTGATTTTAATATCAACTTCATGGAAAGTACATCTGACAAAAATTCAGTTTATAAATACTTAATTGAAGAGAAGCAATACGTGCAACTTATTAATGAATTTACAACTGACTATAAAACACAAATCGATCACATTTACACTAATATCCCTGAAAGAGTAAAAAATAGTGGTGTTTTAGAATCATACTTTAGCGATCATAAGCCCATATTCGTCTCATTAAATTAATCGATAAACATATTAAACCCATAGAAGTAGATAAGTAAATATGAGCTTTATTTATATCACAGAAGAATTTTGTAGTAAAGTAAACACTGACAAAAAGATCATTATATACGCCCCTCTTAGGGGTCAATGTCCCAATTTACTGGGGACAGAAGAACGTTCCCAGATGGCTACACCTTCAAGATTTTACAAAGGTAAGATAGTCTATCAATTAAGTATTCTGTTGAATGATTGTTGCCGTAATGCCATCCATGCCTAGTTACACTGTAACTTTTTGTAATTTTCTATTTTTTGTAATTTCAGGGTCACGGTTTAATATCGCATTCAGTCAATGTAAACGAAAACGAAAAATAGCCATGGAAATATAAAATATAAATGCATGGACACTGTTATAAAAAGGTATATATATTAATGGAACCTGTATACTAAATTTAACGTTAAAATCGTTGATGATCGTTGTTAGTATGCAATGACATGAAGTATATAAGACCGTTGTTATATGTTCTGTACTGGTCCATCAAAACACCCTAATTCTTATCATTAAATGGCATTAAATTTTTATATTTAATTTTATTGCAGGTTGTATACCTCGTGTAACCGACAAAATTTCATGAACAGCATATCATGTGGTTAATGCATAATCGGATTGCTGGGGAGAACAATGGCCCAAGCCAAATATTTTTGACTGGTATATAAACTTGAATTAAAAGCAAAGAAAAAGATCTGGATTAAAGCCACCATTCAAGGAATTAAGCCATGAAAATTATCTACGCGCGAAAACAACAAAAGGAAAAATAGGAAAATTGCTTGGTTGTGTACTGTCGTCGCTTGTAATATATTAAAACAAACGCCAAACAACTTCTTTATAGATCATCAATCTTCTAATGAAGAGTAACGTTCTGACGTCTTGATAAACAATAGCAGTTTATAATTCCTCAAGACTCGACCTCGATGAAACGACTAGTAGAAACTGTAATATTATACTGTGCGAATTAATGCCAACACCCAGGAAATTTCGTGTATTTGTAATTTTCTAATAAAATTATGCATTTTTGTCTAATTTAACGACAAATTACCACCTGTAGTGACCTTTAACAGTTTGCCATGGAGCTATTTCATACATTATGCGAATCAAAATAAATCTTTATCATTTGTCTTATCAACTTTGCACTATCCTTGGGATCTCTGAGTTTAGAATAAAATGAATAGTTAAAGGCTTAAACTAAACCAAATTGTCTGAAATTTTGTACAGTAATTAAAAACCCAACAAAGTTTCCATCTATTAACTCAAAATATGACTACAACTTTTAAATTTTGTGCGCGAGCCATTTTTAGTTTGTTGGAAAAGACACACACCCCTGGTTCACAAAATTTGAGTTTGAGAAATTTTTTTCATTATTCTACATTATAAGTACCCAAAGAAGCTATATATATA